CATGGATGGAACTGGAGAGCATTATGCTAAGTGAAATTAGCCAGTCAGAGAAAGATAAATACCACATGATCTCACCATTTGTGGAATATAGAGAACAACATAGACTGATGAACAGGGACAGATCCAAAGACAGAGAAACAGAGATCAGACTATCAATCCTCCTAGTTATTTTTAATACATTGCATATGCCAGGAAAGGATCTGTTTCATTACCCTTCTATACACAAAATTAGCTTTATTCTCAATTAGTTCCCACCTTAAAATCCTGAGTGGTGAGCTGTGACTTGTGAACAAGCCATTTTATTTTACGTGTAACAAGTGTCTCAGAGGAAGATAAGACAGTTTACATAACCTTTCCTCATGTGTGGACCCCCACGAAGAGACCCACACCTTCAAGGAATAAAAAAAGGCTGCGAGAAGAAATCAGCCCCCTGCTGACTAGGACTGCCAGGGGACATGCCCACCATTTCTGATGCATGAATGGGCAACGTGTACTCAATTATATGTACGTCCATTCACTCATTTCCACAGTCAACACTATTTTGAGTCCCTATTATGGGTTAGGCACTATGCTAAGCGTAAGAGATACCACAATAAGAAAACAAATGGCTCCCTGTTGCTGAGGAAATGTAATCTTTTGGAGGAGACAGATGTTAAGCAAAAGATCACATAAATAAGTATAAACTTACCACTATCATCAATGCTACAAAAGAGCCATTGGTTCAAGATGCTACAAAAGCATATAACAAGGTGATTTAACCTAATTAAAAAGATCAGTAAACGTTTGTTTGTTTGTTTTTGCTTAATCCCTTCACCTTTTTCACCCAGCCCTGCCAACACCCTCCCTTCTTAAACAGTCTTGATGATTACTATTTTCATTTTTTAGAGTGCTTAGGCCCCAGGATAATGTGATCAAATCAGCTTCAGGTTAGTGCGGCTTTACCGTACCCTTAAAAATACATTGAGGTCAAATTATTAAGCCCCTGACTCTTACATCTGGCAACAAATTATAAATATAGAATACTTTTGAATTGGTGAAGTAGATATTCTTATTCTATATTTTTAAATAATGAAATAATGACTCAAAGGGTAACTGATTTGCCTAAGGCAGGCAAAGAGTTAGATCAAGCATAGGTCCTCAAACCTGGCTGTATATTAGAACACTGGAGCTGGGGACTCATTCCAGATGAATTCTATCAGCATCTCTAGACCATGTGGTCTATGCCTTAGCATTTTTTAAAAATATGTTTTTATTGATTTCAGAGAGGAAAGGAGAGGGAGAGAGAGTTAGAAACATCAATGATGAAAAAGAATCATCAATCAGCTGCCTCCTGCTTGCTCTGTACTGGGGATCAAGACTGCAACCCAGGCATGTGCCCTGACCTGAAATTGAACCTTGACCTCCGGGTTCATAGGTTGATGCTCAACCCCTGAGCTACACTGGCTGGGCCACCTTTTTAAAATGCTATTGAGTTGCTCTGGCTGGTGTGGCTCACTTGGTTGGAACATTGTTCCATACACTCATAGGTGGCAGGTTCTATTTCCAGCCAGGGAACATACCCAGGTTGTGGGTTCGATCCCTGGTCTGGAGGAGGCTAATTGATGTTTCTCTTTTACATCAATGTCTCTTTCTCTCTATCTTTCCCTCTCCCTAAAATCAATAAAAACATGTCTTTAGGTGAGGATTAAGCAAAAAAGAAAGGGGAAAAAAAGCCATTCAGGTACTATTTTTAAAAGCATCAAAATGTATCAAATACCAAAGAATAATTCTAACAAAATATGTGCAAGACTACTTTCTATTGAAAACTATGAAAATTATACAAAACACCTTAAGTAAATATGCCATGTGCATAAGTAGAAAGAAGAGAATAGTCTAAAGTTGCCAAGTCTTCCAAACTGATCTATATATTCAATGCAATCCTAATCAAAATTCCAGCAGATTGTTTCTGGTAGAAATTGGACCTGAAATTGAACCTTGACCTCCGGGTTCATAGGTTGATGCTCAACCCCTGAGCTACACTGGCTGGGCCACCTTTTTAAAATGCTATTGAGTTGCTCTGGCTGGTGTGGCTCACTTGGTTGGAACATTGTTCCATACACTCATAGGTGGCAGGTTCTATTTCCAGCCAGGGAACATACCCAGGTTGTGGGTTCGATCCCTGGTCTGGAGGAGGCTAATTGATGTTTCTCTTTTACATCAATGTCTCTTTCTCTCTATCTTTCCCTCTCCCTAAAATCAATAAAAACATGTCTTTAGGTGAGGATTAAGCAAAAAAGAAAGGGGAAAAAAAGCCATTCAGGTACTATTTTTAAAAGCATCAAAATGTATCAAATACCAAAGAATAATTCTAACAAAATATGTGCAAGACTACTTTCTATTGAAAACTATGAAAATTATACAAAACACCTTAAGTAAATATGCCATGTGCATAAGTAGAAAGAAGAGAATAGTCTAAAGTTGCCAAGTCTTCCAAACTGATCTATATATTCAATGCAATCCTAATCAAAATTCCAGCAGATTGTTTCTGGTAGAAATTGGCAAGCTGATACTAAAATTATCATGAAATAAAAAGAGCCAAGCATAACCAAGATTATCTTCAAATAACAAGACCCATTATGAACCTATAATGTTTAAACCAGTGTGCTACCGGCGCAGCAGTACACACAGAGAAAGTATAACAGAAGAGAAAGTCCGGAAACAGACCCACACATGTTCGATCACCTGACATGACAGAGGAATACTGCCGTGAGCTGGGAAAGGTAAGTAAAGCTGGATCTGCTAGAAATCCAAATGGAAAAACAACACAGACCTATCTGACCCCCACTTTACACTATATACAAATGCTAGTCTCAAATGGGTTGTTTTCTAAATGAAGAATAATAAAACTTTTAGAAGAAAAAGTAATAAATTATATTTATGACCATAGAGTAGGTAAAACTTTTATGAATTGACATTAAAATTACCATCCATAAGAAAAACATAAAATATCAGACTATATTAAAATTAACAGCTTCTGTTCATCAAAACACAGCATTAAGAAAGTTTAAAAGCAAAACCTAGACATACGTTTCCTCTCAGCTGGGTACAATATGACTTGGCAATTTTAGAATATTCTTTTCTTTCTACTTATGCACATGGTATATTTAAATCCAACAAAGACACATATCAAAAATGCATTAAGAACTCCCACAAATCAAGAAGATAAAGACAAAAAAGTCAACAGAAAATTGGGCAAGAGACAAGAGTAGTAACTTTGACAGTGTTTATACAAATGATCGATAGGCACAGAAAAAAGTACCCAAATTAATTAATCATCAGGAAAATGTACTCTAAACCACAAAGCAGCATGACCACATACCCACTAAGATGGTAAAGATGACAAAGACACTCAATGCCAAATGAAGATGAGGGTATAAAGCAACTGGAATTCTTACACATGACAAGTGGGCATGTAAAATGGTAAACCCACTTTAGAAAATTGTTTGGCAATATCTACTAAATTTAATGTATACATACACTATGACCTAGATATTCCACTCACAACAGAAATATATCCCAACAAAAATGTCCCTGTGTATACCAAAAGACATGTCCAAAAATGTCCACAGCAGCACTGTTCAGAATAGCCTAAAATAGAAAAGAAACCAATTGTCCCTCAAGAGTAGAATGGATTAATTTTATATTCACACAGAGGAACACTAATGATTAGAATGAACATACTAATACTACACACAGTATAGAGAAATTGCATGCATTTTATTGAGTAA